TAATTATAATAAAGATTTATTATCATATTATTAAATAATATATTTAATTATTATAATACCTTATCTTTTTTAATAGTCAGAGCTCTTTCACTCAGATTATTTATTACTTTGGATGAGCTTAAAATCACGTTAAAAAAAACAATCAATTTACTAAAAACAATTCTTTCATCATATGCCTTCTTTGGACGTGACCCATAGGTTGGTTCAATGGTTTTTTAACAGATGATTCAAGTGCTGAGCGTAACACTTTAGAGTTATATTAGCCGTAAGATAATATTCCTATTTGTAATTGGTAATTCCTAAATAACAAACCTTTTTTAATTCAAATTAAATTAAAACTTATCAAAAGGGATTTGACTTTTATACACATTTCATATTTTACAAGCCTTTTAGAGGTAGATTCACGATTTAAAGTATAATATTAATAAAAAGAATTGGGTGTTTATAATGAAAAAAATAAAGAAGATAATTTACACATCTTCTAGTTCAGAAATAGACATATATTATAATGAGTTTAAAAAAAGCTTTTATCATATTTATCCTTTTTTATAAAGACATTTTGAATTTTTATAGAGCTGTCATAGCTATTGGACTTTATCATTTTGTGCAGAACTTCTAATACGTAAAAATCATACAAATAATTATATTAAGTGAAGTTTTAGCATTTTAAAAGATATAGTTTTTGCAAGAATACAAGCATACAATTCTGTACAAGTATTTCAGTTTGTAGTTATTAATATAGAAAGATTTATGAGCGGTGGTTACTTAGATTTGCACATAGACATCTTGAGCATTTACATATTTCAAGATGTTTTTTATGTCCTGAATAGGAGACTGTAAATACAAATTCCATTCAAAGGACGGATGTAGAGTATGAATTTTTAGTACAAAGTACAAGACAAAATACTAATCTTATTTACATTATAAATAGCGAGATCAGAATGTATTCCTGTATTACCAGTATGTTTAGCGCTTCTTGTAAGCATCAAGGAGCAGTAGCAATGAAATATCACATTGCAATTTTTAATTTTTTGCCATCATTAATACCTGATAATCGTATGCTTTATGCATATGTTGCATTTGGTAAGTAGAAGGGTATTTAATAAAAATCAGAGACTTCTGACTAATTTTTATTTAATATTTTAGAATATGTAGCAAATAATAGTTCTTTTTATGTATTCTTATGTTCAGAATTTATTTTACAAGATCAAAAGGTTTTACAAATAAGAAGTAAAAATTTGTTAGTTTTCGATCAAAAATTTGTATTTTTTTTTAAAATAACATTTTTGGAAAGTTGTATTAGAAAGGGATTTTATTAGATTTCATTAAAGAGTTTAACTAATTTTAAATCAATTTTTTTCTTTAAATTTATAGGAAGTTAGATAATGTGAATGAAGAAATTGATATTTCATTATTTGATTCTTTTTTAAAAGAAATGAAAGCAGATTATTAAAACTTCAGTTTACAATTGCGTACTGCATTAGATATGTTTGCAGAGTAGTATTAAATGGTAAAATCGAAATCTATTTCTCGTTTAGTTTTCTTTCTTTATGATCTTAACCAAAATGCAAATCTAACAAGTCATGTTAAAAGTAGTTCTATGATTCGCATTTAAATAGAATCTGTTAAACATCATAAAACAGAATTAAGAGATGCTAAATGAAAACTACCCAATATTATTAGTGAAATGAAGGAAAACTTAGATTCTCAAGTCATTCCTTGTTGAAAGAAGAGTAAAACTGGTAAAAAGATGCATAATTTAAGTGAGAATATATTAAAAAATAAGCCAAATTGAAGGTATAATATTTTATTTTTTATTCATTTTTTGTTTCTATTTTTTATATTTAAATATAACAATTTTTTCTTTATTTAGGCTTTAATTACTAATCAAATTTTAAATTGATTGGCATCATGAAATTGCAAAGTATAATTTAGCTGTTATTATTTTAATAAAGAAATAAATGGGTTAAAAACCATTTATTTGTATCATAAAGTAGCAAAAAAAAAAATTTATTAGATTATATTTTTATAATAAAGATTTAAAAAATTTAATCAAAACTTTTAATTTTATTATATCTAATTTTTTTCTCTATATTTATATTCGAAATCACAAATCCCAGAAGTTATTTGTCATTAATTTCTTCCTTTAAACTTAACAATAATGCTCAAAAACAATTATTTTTTAGAGGTTTTATATCTATAGTTCAGGAGGGACTGTCCTAAATAAGAAGAACGGTTATACAATTCAAATTTTTTTTTATACATTTTACAGTACATTTTTGATGCTCTTTGCGCAACCTTTCTCTGCTATAAAACGTGACAAATGCATTAAGTAAAATTTGAGTATTCGCACTACTCTTTAATATATTTCTTTAATCCCTGTTAATTCTACGTCTTTATATTATTATTAGCTGTTAAAGATATGTCTGAGATGAAGAAATGTACAGAAAGCCAAACTGTTAAATTGGCTAAATTTCGTTCGTTAAAGGGAGAAAAATAGAAGGAAGTTGAGAATAATAATTTAGCAAAGGTAACATGGAATGAAGATATTCTCTTGTGTAACATATGCTATATGCGTTTTGTAGAAAATCCTTTGAAAAAAGGCCGTAAGAGAGTAAGAACTATGGATGAACAAATTACAGGTGAAAATATTATGATTGAGAAGGTAAGTATGAAGATTGACTTTACAGGAGCTATTAAGGTGATAGCAAAGATACTTTACGATAGAGAACATTCTAAGAAAGAAAAATCTATATATTCGTTCAACGAAATGCAAAGGATATTTCAAGAAATCGAACTGAGTTTGAAGGATTTTTTTGACCAGCTCTATTTGGCAGCTCGACCACTTGAATGTAACGAACAAACAATAGACCATATGAAAAATTGATGCTTTTTATATGTTATCTTCTAGCATCACTAAATAATACAAAAATTAACTCTTTTAAATTCGATCTTGAATTTTATTTA